TGTCGATTTTCTACATTATTGGAAATTCGATTTTCTATAATCTAGAAAATCCGTGAGGATTTCATATATGGACTTTTTGAAAATCGCCGAGCATTTTCTATAAATAATTCCCGACTTTACAGTGTACGACTGACGAATACAAATAACTTGTTGCCGTAGCGTTACACTTCACACATACCCAATACTCTGAATCATTTTGATTTTTACGTTTGAGAGATTATCGATAACCGAGGTAACATAGTTGTCTTTTGCCATGTGCAGATTCAACAAATTCAGCAGACATTATTAAAACTTCCTCTGACTTACGAGACAATATTAAAACAGTGTGAGAAGAGAGTTGTGTATCTCTACCTTTTATACATATTTTTACAAAGGTTATCATGCTGACGACTACCCTAGTTCCCAAATAAGTAACTACGTTAAAAATCGTGATTACTGCTCTACTTTCTTAGTATTTCTCATTATTCATTATCTAGAGTTATTGAACATTGTTCGTTCCCAATTAAAAATCTGGTTCATCGTTCCCTTATATTACTTCAAATACCACGTATTGTACAATTCATCCAAGAAAAGAAAAAAAAATCGATATTATAACTCATGTCGAGCACGTGTTTCATCTGTATTTCGCAGATGACTAATTGTACTTTTCTTCAGAAAACGCTTGGAATTTAAATTGAACAAGGATTGTTTCTGATTGCTGTCGCCTTTCACATTAGACTTATGAAAAATCAAAAAATTAGAACATCTTCGAAAGAAATTAGAGGTTCACTACTGCAGTGAACCTCTTTATACTCGTTCACACTAGTGCCGCTGTCAAATCGAATGTAGTTTCGAAGAAACTTGGATCAATTCATAACGATCACAATAAGAGTAATAATGAAAACTTGATGAATATTCTTCAGCGCTGCAAAGAAGAAACGTAATAAGATCCAAGTTTTTTTGTGCCTAAATTATTCTCGTATAGTTGGTCATCATCATATATTCTATATGTATGTTTGTTGATTTAATAATGATGAGAGTTTATATTTAAGAATACGTTCAAATTATAAGAAAAGTACAATTAGTCATCTGCGAAATACAGACGAAACATGTGCTCGATATGAGTTATAATAGCGATTTTTTTTTTCTTTTCTTGGATGAATTGTACAATACGTGATATTTGAAGTAATATAGAACACAGGCTACAATATTGGATCCTTATAATTCGAGAGTCATTCGTATTGAGACCGAAGCAAACAGAGATCTTTCGGAATCTTGGATTAGAAGTATATTGACGCTTGTCTTGTTAGACTGAATTGTTAAGTTTGTTAGAAAAAATGTGATTATCAAAAGAATATTCTGAACTACTTCTGATTGTTGTCATGGTGTTTGATAACTGCAATGTTTCTGAGAATATAACTGTTCTGAAATGAAATTTATACGAAAAATGTATGTGCCTGGTGAACATGAACTTGATATAATCGATGAAATTGGTGATGAATCGGATTTAAATACGTTGCGTCGTTTGCTAATGAATTGTCGCCAAGAATTATTTAAAGTTATTGAACAAATGATTCGAAATGAAATTTCATATGAAAATGTAGTAATGAAATCCGATTATGATGATTTGAGTTTGAAACATGAAGAAATAAGTCGAGAGTATGATAAATTGAAAATAGAATTTAAAGATTTAGGACATTCATGTTTGTTTCTTGTACAGAAAACAAAAGATTTAGTCGATGAAAGAGATAAATACTATGATGATTGGGAAAAAAATCGATCCATTTTAACACCGAGACCTGATTGGGATAAATGTTCAAATGTGCTAGATGGGGGCATGGATAGATGGAAAAAAATATCAGCTGGTGAGAATATCACTTTCATCTTCTATCATTTCACGAAGAGAAGAATATCTAATATTTATCCATCTTTTAGGTAAAACAAGCGACCAATTAGTTGAAATATTGATATCAGAAATAATTGATGGAAATCAGACAACTCATGAGACAATGAAACAAAATTATTTCGATGCATTAGGTGAAGAAAAACAAATATTACCATTTTTACGCTCAGCAAAAAATAAAAAAATAAAAAATCGTCATATGCGACGGTAAACATAAAAAACACCCATCCTCCCTTTCAGAACATACTACTGCAGTTTTGCTGTTTTTCATAGACGAATAACAGGATTATTGATTAAAGAGATATGGAATGAACAAATAACAAAAGGAAGTTCAACTGCTGAGTCAAAGAAAATAGCAATCGACGATGATAGTAGTTTCGATGGTTCTGATCAACCATTAAGGCAGCCCGTTTTGACAGACTTAGCCAACGTGGTTTTCGATTATCTAAAAAAACGGTTCGATTCAAAAGATATGGCTATAGAAATCGGTTATAATTTGAGAGATGCATGTTTGAGATATAGAAATTCGGGTAAAGACAAGTATAGCAGAAATATGAAGACTTTTCTCTCGTTGTCATTTATCACAATATATACTTGTATACTTTTAGAACGTATAAATTTATTCTGGGGCATTTTAACCGGCCAAATTGAAGAACAAGTATTTCATTATCAAATGAAAACAATTGCACAACTCTTACAACATCTATGTCGTATGAAAATTGTGTTTGAATTTGATGAAACAACAATGGGTACGCCTGGAGGGACAGATTCACTCGGTTTATCTGTTGATGATTCATTGCACGTAGCAAGATTGCAATCGATACGTAATTCAACATTAATGGGTGGTAATAGTCTAGCCAGTGCATCGTTTGGTATTTCTGTAAGTCGTTCAATAACCAGTGCAAGAAATTCCATTCATGAATTAGTAATGTCACGCAATCAGTTTTTAATGTCTTTAAAGTTATTGTATCCAACTAAAACGAGTGAAAAGATAAATGAATTGGTTAAAGCAGCTGAACGAGATTTGCATATGACAAATATGCAAACATTTGAATTTGGTCTATTATTCATGGAAGGTGATGATGGAAAGTTGGGTAACTTTTTATCAACGCTGTTGAAACAATTGAACGAAGAAAAAATACAATATGTTGATAGTATTAAGTTGATTCTCATGGGGCATCCATTAGTACCGGTGAGTCAATTTAAACGTGCTATAACAATGGTCGATTCGACTATACCACAAGCAGAATTAAAACGATATGTGGAATGGGTATATAATACGAAAATTTTCAATGAGAAGATTAAACCATTGGATTTTGAAGATTTGCTAAGACGATTAGAGAATTGTGCGTGCTATAAACACTAGTGTAGAGACTATACTTGAAATGATCAGAAATAGGTAAGTGTGAGTCTAAAAGTTATATGTCTAGAAATCTGCAGATAAAGCAATGATAAAGATAAAATAGTGAGGTACAAATATCGCCCAGGTCCAAGAAATTGTTCTAACAGGAATCTCATACTATCCTATGCTTGCAGAAAAACGTAAGGGTCCTTGCATAGGATCAGATAGACTACTATCATAGATAATCCTGAGCATACGAACGTGTGACATTTTCGGTAAGAAATCATACAATAGAATTCTATCAGTTCCTTAGATAGGAAATTGTAAGATTCTAATACAGTACAGTAGAAAATGATAGAATTTTAAGCATGGAAATCCTATCATTTTCCTATGCAATCCCCATTTCCCACTGGTTTTTCAATAACAACTCCATATGAAGACCACGTGTTACATTGAGAATTTTGAGCACTCTCAAAGATTGTCAGCCTGCAGAGCGCACTGAGTTACCTATAGGTATAAGTTTTCCTGTTTATTGGATATGGTTTCGTTGACTTATAAACAGTTTAATTTGACATTTATCTGAAATATGATAAATAGAAAAAGATGATAAATTTGGAAGCAAACAAGAAAGATACATGTGAAGATCAAGTGTTCAAGAAAGACCAACTTTAATAATCTTCTACTACTGATTTTAACTCATCTTCATGTATTAACTAAACGTGTTCTGCTTTTCTTTGACTGTTCTATGAAGTTCATGATTATACGGTTATCTAACAGAAACTAAAAATAAAAGTGTTTATAAATCAAACGAGACCATGTATAGAAGCTAATCTCTACGGAGAAGTAGCACAATGTCGACAGATAAATGTCGAAAAGCATAGTGTCGACAAAAGAAAAATGTCACCGTAGAAAACGCCGACATGGAAAAATGTCGACCGTGCAAAATGTCGAGAGAGCAGAATGTCGAAAAAGATTATTTATTATTGACTAAGTTAAAATCTAATACACGTGAATAAGAAGTACAAAATACATGAATACGGGAAAAAATAGCGGAAGTCATATATTTATGTTAATATATCAGCATATATGTATTAAATTAGTTCCATTCCGTACCAACTAGCAATGACAATTGATAATGATACTTGTACAGTGGGCATTTTTTGCTAGAGCAGGCGGACTTTGGCTTTATGAGCGAACTAAAATTTCATGAACCATTTTTTTATAGGTTTTCATAAATTCATAAAACCGTCGGGAAAGAGTTGCGAAATTTTGCGAGATTAGCATAAATAGCGTAGTGTCTGAGGAACATTTTGATGTATTTGTATATTGTTTTTGAGGGTGGCTAAGGATGGCGATGCGACTGTACTAGGGTAGTGTCATTTCCACTATCGTTATGAGAAATCCATGATCTGCTACTTATTGAATTCGATGTCAAAGTACAAACATTCTATTATTAGTAGATAGCTGAGGAGCTACTGATTTTGAATATGTCCTTTCGAATTGCTTAGCATTGCTGAGAGAGCGAAGAATCCCGGTTTTCTATGATGTGTCCTGTTTTACCATATATGTAATGCAGTTTTTGTGCCCTAATTTTTCCTCAAAGGAGTCGATATCAAAATAGACATTTATACACCATTCGGTAGAGAATTTGAAGGGCTACATCTTGCACTATTTATTTTTTGAAAACGAGAAACTTCGATTTTTTGCCTAACTTCCGCCTGCATGCCCACTGTGACTCGCACAGTTGGATTACTCCCCTTCGTCATAGCGCTTTCGCAGTTGATCGAGCTTATCTTGTTCCGCGAATTTTTCTTAATACAAATTTAGGTATTTCTGGTGTTGATCGGACATTCCAATACAATATAATGAATTATTTTACAATACCATCGAAGTCAAAAGTTTAATTAAATTTTAACCCCCTTTAACAGCTATTTTGTAAAACCTCGCAGAAGAGTCGGTTCGCGGAATGGTCGGTGATTCTAGCTAGGGACACAAATCCTGTCTACTATACTCTCGCACAGTTAAATGTTGAAATCTAAGGATTTCTTGCCGACTTTTTTTCTGTCGACATTTTGACACTTCACCATCTCTACAGACCTAGAAACAGTCTTGACTATCGAAATCTGCATCTTCGAACACATATGCTCCGATTTGTCTTATGCAAAAGACGACTTATAAGTCGGAATCATTCCCTAGCGTACTTATACTTGAGGATGAGAAAAGATGTTCAAGATATTAAGGGTCGAGTTAAAATGCGTTTTGAAACTACATCATTTTATTCAGAAAAGAATATAACACTTAGAAAACATCTGACATAAGTATTTATTACTGAACGTACAAATGTGGGTCAGGTTCTTGTTTTCAATTTTTCATCTGTCCAATTCCACCATTTTAATAATTCTTTATCATGTTTAGTATATGAAGCATAATAAATAATACAACGAAATACATATAACATACAGCGATCAACATGCTGAGATTGATGGTGTTCTAATTTTTCGTACAAAATATCGGCTGTTGTTAAGCATAGATCATCTATACTTCGTATGCCCAATTGCCATAAATCTTCAGCGATTTTCACACCAACACCAGGAATTGTTTTCAACTCTTTTATACAATCATTTTTATTTTTATTATTTTCGTTAATGTTTACTTTTTTACTCATCTTAAACAAGAAAATTCGATTATTTTTCGAGAGAGTTGGAACGTTAAATAAAACAATTGTTGCATCCTAACGCCATTTGTCGACTTTTAGACCACTTGCTGGTATGATAATGTGTTCCATCATCAAGCCATATAGATACCGAAACGAACGAGTAGCTTAAACAACAAAAACACATTCTTAACGCTTATATCACAGCAAAGTTACATTATATGAAAAAAATTCATTCTCTTATTATCAAAACACAGTAGGATTTCATTATCACTAACATTTTTATTTATCTGTTCATGTATAAGGTGGAAGAAAAGACGATCAAAAATCAAAGCATCAAGAACAAAAAAGATATCGAAACAACCACACACTTAACAATAAAAAAGATTAGAAAACAATCGTTTATCTAATCTTTCATCAAAACGAATGCTAGTTTCATTATAAAACTTAAAAAAGAGCAAAAAATCAAACGCTATATTCTAATAGCTGTCTAAGATCGTATTCCGAACGGTTATATTTTTGCTTTCAAATGATTTAATTCACCCTACATCTCTTATGAACGTTCGACAGTTTCATTCACATTTTATAATATGTCAATTCGCTCTGTGTCACGAGTAAAATTAACCGTCACCTAATCGAATAAACAAGAATATTACGATATATTATACACAATTACGCTATAAAACGTTTGTGTCAGAAATGTGAACGAGGTTAATCCCTCTCTTATATAGAAAAACCCTACTTTTCCACGATAATCATGTGACGTTTAAATGAAATAAATAGTTATCATAAATAGTTGTTTTTCAACATATTATAATTTATTTTAAAATTTTAATATCAATTTTAAATCCTCCAGTTTTCCATTTCGTCGTCTTCTTTCCAGTTCTTTATAACGATCATTAGATAATTTTTAACGACGAGTTATTTTATCCGATCTATCGTAGAAAGTTTACATCGTGCATGTAGTTCAAATAGCAATACTTCGCATTATGTGATTTTGTTCTTTTAATTCATATCAACTTTCTCACGCTTCTGCATGCAGATATTTGCTTCTCTAGCTGTTTAAATTATGCTTTCTTATATTTACTTTATATGCTTCTCTTATTATATCCTCTTCTTTTCTGATTTTAGACGACAGTTCTTCCGAGAATAATATTTGATTTCTGTACATTTCTTATAGTTTGTGGCTCCGTTACAATTGTTGCTCTAACTGATAGATCTCCTTATCTAACTGATTTCATCTCCTTATTTTTAATTCGAACACAAGAAAATATCAGTTTCATATATCAAAAATATAATGACAAATTATAAGGTCCTATCAAATTGTGCTCGAAATGTATAATAAAAACTGTCAGGAAACCGGGGGGCTATTCTGCAGTAAGTTGAACCAAGCAGAAATCACTGAAAATTACGTAAAGTTTGAAAGTATAACTTATTCTTCTCTCCAAGACCATCACCGATCATTTCAATTCCAGAACCATCTACAACCATGTCTGCTAGTATCTGCATGCAGCTTTCGAGGTGTTTAGATAGGCAGAGTTTTGAGATATTACATCAGATATTATACCATAATAGCAATTTAATTGGAAAAATACAAACATGTATGTGAAGTTAAAGAGTTTTATATACAGCGATGTGATCGGTTTCTGTTCTATCCTTATCTCTCTCTCTCTCTCTCTCGTACAGGGTATTTCCATTCAGGTGCTCCTTCACTACATGACATAAAAGTCGCAAAAATGTCGATAATCTTTTTGTGTAGGGTATAGAAAGTTATATAGAATCCCGCATTTGTTCTCTAAGTAAGTTATATTCAACATACTCTTTTAGGGAGGTCAAGTTTTGACCTCTTTTACAATGGAATAACTTTGACCTTGTTTTTCTCAACGGAGCTTGCAAGCTCTTGTCTAAAGAGCTTACACCACCGTTTACGAAAGAGCACCTTGAGTAGTACAAATACTGATACCCTTTTACAAGGGCAGGTCAGCTGTTGAAAATGGCTGAAAATGAGAAAACAGTATTCAGTATTGTACCTCTTCTGAACGCAAAACAAAACAAAAAGTTCTTCTGTTATAGATGAAAATGAAGCCGGAGAGATGCCTAATCTGATGAAAAATGAATAAAACAATAGCTATCTTCCTCTTTGCGTATAAAGAACCTGTTTTCTACAATTAGTCAACTTTCAGGCCTCACAGCAGAAAAAGTCTTCAGTCGAATTTTTTCATTTTACCCTCATTTGCAGTACTCATCGAGCCCTACGAAATGGCGGCAAAGATTTTTCTGACCCGTTCTGTTTTCATTCTCCTTTGCCTATCACAAAAGTCAAAAATATCGCGATTACTATTTTCATGTTTGCTTTCCACTCTATTCTTAAATTTCAGTTGAGACAAAATAGTTGGCCATCTTATGCTAAACTAAAAGCAAACTAGTTATATTCGACGAACACAGCCATAATCTTGCTAATTCCCTTGAAATTATTTAGCCTAGGGTCTCACAAAATGGTTGTTTGTATGTCTGTGCGCAAAATACGGAAAATGACTGTCAGATGTTCCATGGATAAGCCACTCGTAAGAGAGAAAAATAGAAAATTATTTTTTACACAAGAGAGGAAATATTTAAAGAGATGAAATAATATTTACTGATGCAGAGAGAAAAAACGTCAAAGTTACTTCACTGTAAGAGAGGTCAAAACTTGACATCCCTAAAAGGGCATGTTGAATAAACTTTTTTAGAGAACACATGCGGGATTGTATGTAACTTTCTATACCCTACACAAAAAGATTATCGACATTTTTGCGACTTTTATGTCATGTAATGAAGGACGAACCTGAATGGAAATCCCCTGTACGACAAACCGATCACATCGCTGTCGATATAAAACTCTTCAACTTCACATACATGTTTGTATTATTCCCATTATAATAGTTTTTCTACAAATATTTACCGAAAAATAATATTTTGTAGATCAAATTCAATAATTGCTGCTATTGGTACTCGAACTCTTAGTACATCTTGTTCTGTTGATAAATAACTAGTTATAGTAATAAATACTATCTAAATAGCTTAAAAAAGGAAAGAAAATCAAACACATTTATAGAATAAAATGAAGTAAAACTAAATAAACTTTACTATTTGGCAGAATCGATTAGTAGATATTCTCTTCTTCTGTCATAGCATTCTTTTATTCACAGATCATTCTACACCCAGGTCGACAAATCTTGTCAAATGATGATGAAATGATGATATCACAAAATTTCATATGATCGTACAAGATCTTACAAGATTTCATATGAATTAGTCTTCCTGATTTCACATAGAATTTTTCTTATAGCCAGAGTTTACAAGATCTTGCAAGAGCATATGACAGGATTTTGCATGAAGTGACAAGATTCCGCAGGATCTTACAACATCTCAAGGTACGATCTTGTAAAATCGTGCGGTAAGATCTTGTTACAAGATTTTATAAGAAAACAGCAGATCTTGTATGATCTTGTAAGATGAATTTCACTTGGGCAAGCTTTATATTACTTCAACATATTGAGATTCAAATGTTGTCACTGTTTCATAATCAACACTACGGACTAATAAATGCTCCTAAAACAAACGAATGAATAAAATAACCTGTGCCCTAGTGAAGCTGTTTTTCTCAAGCACATGATTTTCTTGAATTTCTTGAGTAAGAATCTCATGGTGTAGAAACATTTCTTATCCATGCAAAACGCAATTTTTTTCGATGCCATGCGCTGGACTTTCTTAATTCATATGCTTGAGTTTCGTATCTGAAGAAACTCATGCGCATGAGATTCTTATCTCAAGCGTTTAAATATCTCACGCGCTTGACTTTCTTGAGCTAAGCCTTTCTCTTTCTTGTCTTTTCAATCTGCTTTGACTAACGAAATTTCAAATTTTGATTTCGTTCTTTCAATGTGAATCTATAGAAATAGACTGGACATGTCTGTGTATAGAGCAGACATGTGGACGTCATATACATGCAAGAGAATAATGCACGTTGTCTACACAGCCATTTTTTGTTTTTTTAACGGACTATGAAGCTGAAAACCATTTTTACTTGCATTTTTTTCATGTTTTAACTTGTGTTTTCTTACTGATTTATCATAAAGAAAAAGGATAAAAAATTAAATAATTTGAACCTTTAACGTCGAAGTAAATACACAGCAATTTGAGACGAAGGAAGAGAAAGAGTTAAAGCGTCCTTCGTTTTTTTTTGTCACAAAATTGAACTATCTTTCTTATTAACAGTTTTGAAAGATCTTTCTTCTCAGATAACGTACCC